AAGGGAAGGCAAGGGAAGGCAAGGGAAGGCAAGGGAAGGGAAGGCAAGGGAATGCAAGGGAAGGGAAGGCAAGGGAAGGCAAGGGAAGGCAAGGGAAAGCAAGGGATGGGATGGCATGGCATGGGATGAGATGGGATGGTATGGCATGAGATGGGATGGCATGGGATGGGATGGGATGGAATGGGATGGGATGGAATGGGATGGGAAGTGGGACAGCACGGCACGGTGGGCACACAGCCAGCACCAGCAGGGTGGGTGGGGTGCGATGATAACACAGAGCGATGCTTCTTCCAGCTCCTTCTAGAGGGTTCTGCCGTGGTCCCCCAGGGTGAGGCGATGCCACGAGGGCTGAAAGGTGGCGGTGGGGGGCAGCAGGGACCCCCCTCTCACTGCCCACTCCCTGGGGATCTTGGCACAGGGCTTGGAGAGATCCTTTTGCATGGTTTGGTGTAAAACGGGTTAATTTGGGTTTCTGTCCCTCCCAGCAGAGCAGTGTGAAGTGGGGGGACAGCCTGTCTCTGCTCCCCGCTGTCAGGAGCTACCTTTGGGAAGGGCCTAGCCCCCCCCCTAGCCTTCCTTCCCACGCTCCCCTTCATGTAGATGGGGAAACTGAGGCACAGGGAGACAAGTCCCACTGCACACCCCTCCAAATTACAGCTCAGGGAAAGACTGTGACCAGGACCGAGTGGCAGAGCCCCAGCTCAACCTCCCCGACACCACAGCCCCCTGCCTTTCGTGTGGTGGATTATCCTGTGGGATGATGGCAACACCTGAGAGTCTCAGCTGCTTTGGGGCAACTCCTCTGCCTTTGGTAGAGCTTTTCCCCTCCTCTTGTCCCCTCCCTCTCCCCCTTTCCCCTTCGCAGCCTGGAGATGCTGGACACCATCAGCAGCCAGTACGACTCCTTCATCTACTGGAGGATGCCGATCCCGCGGCTGGATGTGGCGGAGCTGGAGGGGCTGGAGCTCGGTGATGTGACCCTCTACAAACCCAAGGCAGGGCTGGGCAAGCTCAGCAGCCAGCGGGATCGGCTCCGCCAGGATGTCCCCGACGAGGAGGACACTCTGCTGCAGTTCAACAGCTTTAACTTCTGGCGAGCTCCCATCGCCAGCATTAGCTCCTTAGATTTCGACCTCATTTGAAGCCTTGCCTTCTGCCCCTCCTCGCCCCCCTGCCCTCTCCCTCCCTGCCAGGCATGCGAGGATTTGGTTCTGGTGTTGGTTTGGAGGTTGTTCTTTTCTTTTCTTTCGTTTCTGGGTGGTTTGGAGGCTGTTCTGCTTTTTGTTTCCGGGTTGATATTGTTAATTAATGCAGCAGTTTCCCCCCAGCCCTGGGGGCAGTGGGTTCCCCGCAAAGCTTCAACCTCCCTCCACCTTCTCCCTCTTTTTCTTCCCTTCCTGCAGCAGGGCTGGGAGCACCGTGCCAGGGCAGCTGTGTGACCCTGGCTGTCCCCTGTGCTCTGGGACCAGCGTTTGAGCTCATTTCTCCTCTGCTTTTTTAAGAAACTCATTTGTGCAAAGGGAGCAGTGCAGCACTGATGGGAATCGCCTTCATTTTCCAGAAAGCTTCATCCCTGCTCCCCTCCCAGGGACACACAGACCCTCCGTGCTCCCCTGGCCCAGTTTCTCCAAAAGCTGCTTCATTTCTTCACCTTCCCCTTGGGATAGTCACGGCAGGGATGTATGTGGCCAGGGCATGAGCACAAACCTCCTTCTTGAAAGGAATTGTCTCTTTGAGGCTTGTGGCTTGAGCCCAAGCAGGAGAAATAAAGGCCAGGAGGGTAAATACAGATTGAAAAGCTCCAACCTTGGCTGGCAGGATCAAGGCAGGATGTCCACTGCCTGAAATTTGAATTTTCTCTCCCTTTTTTCACCCCGTGTGCTTTATCCCAGCTGGGACTCCTGACTGGGACAAGTCGGGAACACTTGTGTCCTCCAGATGGGGCTGAGCTGAAGGAGAAGGTGGAGAATCTAGGGCTGATTTTACACCAAAATGAAAATAATAATAATAATAATCTGGTTCCCCACTTAATTAATCAACCACTTTAAAAATAATAACGAGAAAATGCTGCATTCACTCAAGTGGGAGACTCGGAAGGTTTTCACCTGTGGTCTCCATGGGCTGAGGTTTATTTCTGAGCACCATCTCAAAAAGGGGCAAAAAAACCCCAACCCAGGGGTTATTTACTTTTTTCCACCAAGATAGTTTTCTGGAAGAGCGAACACGACTGGTTTGTCTTCTTGAATGTGTGTGGTTTGGGTTTGGTTTAGTTGAAGTTGTGATGTGGAGCATCCTGAAACTGTCCTAAGATTCGGGAGGGTACGTGGCGAGGGTGAAGAGCACTGAAAACATGTCCCAAAATTGGCAAATATTAGAAAAACCTGCACTCTGGAATGGACGTGCAGCTCTCCTGGAACCTCCAGAAACGTCCCAGCCTGCTGATTTTCAACCACCCGTGTTAAACCTGAGGTGAAAAATGTAAACTCTGCTACGTGGAGCTGTTTGATCTCTGTGCTCTCAGCTGGGAAAACCCGCCTAAGTATTTATTATGAAACTTTAAATAAAATTATTTAAAAAGCATAGGCTGTGGACTCTTGAAAAAAAGAAATCCATGTAGGCTGGCATCAAGTTCTTTCCATAATCTGCCATTAATCTTTTTATGGGGAAGCTGAGAAGTTACATGAAAAACATGGACCCGCGTCTTTGCAAAACTGCAGAGGATTTAAGAGCTAAGCCTAAGGAATGAACATTGTTACTTAAACCTCAGCTTCTCCAAACCCCAACAGGAAAACGTCTCAGAGGAAACCCCAAAGAGAAGCCTCAGGGTTTTTATATTTTACCTCAGAGTTTTTTGTATTCACCTCAGAATTTTTTGTATTCACCTCAGAAGAGGCACTTTGGGGCACCTGAGGGGGTAACAAGCTCAGAGCGAGGGGCTCGGGCCCTCTGAGGGAAACCCAACCCTAGACAGCAAGGCGCTAGAAGGCACGCAAACTATATTTTATGCATATAAACACATTTAGAGACACGGAGACGCAGAACAACCGGCGGGCTCCGCGAGCAATGAGGGCGAACACCCTCCCGCGCCCTTTTATACTTGGCGCCTAAACGCCTCTGCCGGAACTACCCGCCGGGGCGCATCAACCCCATGCGCCGCCTGAACTAAGTGACTTGTCATCTTATCCTTCCGCTAGATAAAATACTCCCCTTTTATAGGATGCCCCGTTGCTCGCCGCCTTTCTCCAGGCCCGCGGACGGGGAGGGAAGCGGGAAAAGAAGGAACCTGCTAAGGTGCCTTCTGCGACAAATCGAAGGGAGGCCCAACCCGGCGCTCCTCCGCTGGCGGACTCCTTTGTTGCCG